TAATAAAAAACACTGGGGCCGAAGAAAGTACAGTGGTAGGGTGCTTACCTTGTACACAGCCAACCTCGGTTCAATCCCTTGCACCCCTTATGGCTGCCCCAACCTGCCAAGAGTGATACCTGAGTGCAGAACCATGAGTAAGCCCTGAGCACTACCAAGTGTGGCAAAAAAAAACAAACCAAAAAAACACACTTTTTGCACTTTAAATTCCCACGTAAGGTTTAAAGTTGTTCATGATGGGAAAAAAACCTCATGTACATGCAATGTCTAGGAACATGTGCATAAACTACATGACATAAAATCCAAATTCCTTGCCTTATGCTAATGTTTAATATTTTAACTAAAATACATCTTATCTTTTTCATTACAAGATATATGATCATCGTAGAAATTGGAAACTTTAAGCAAAAGAGAAAATCGCCCATAAAACTATACTCAGAAGGAACCAACTAACAATTAGGCATATTATCTTCCAGATGCCATATTCCTTTCTGGGGGTGCCCCCAAGCACTGCTCAGAGGGGTCTAGGCTACTCCTGGTCTGGCCACCCAGGTAGCTGTTTCATTCCGGGGCTAGAGGATGTTGAGCTGGGCTGCATCATTAGGGTGTGTGGGAGCCTCCAGGGCTGGACTTTATATACCCAGTAGTGCAGGGGTTTTTTTTTGGGGGGGGGGGGGGGGGGGTGATAAAAAGGGCAAGGCCTTGTGGTGCTGGGGTTTGAATTGAGCCTGGTAAACACAAAATACATGAATTATCTCCCAGGATGAAGACGTTTTATTTCAAACCAAAATAGTAACTGGGAATGGGGGAAACATCCACACGTGGCAGTACTTGGGGGCCCTACGTGGCACCAGATTGAAACCACTGTCAGGGCTGCAGCCACACACAAGGCATAGGCTTCAACTCTCTACTCTTACTCTACCCAGCCCTGAAATTTTATTCTAACATCTACTTCTTTCACTAAACATGTATCAAAACATTTTCCCTTGCCTTTTTATTCTTACTTTAACACCTTTCTAATGGTCTGTCAATGCCCCACTATAGGGATGCATCTACACTAACAGCAAGGAAATATTTTGGTTGTTTACAGTTTCACACAGCACAGTGAACAAGCATCATGTCAGGGCTCTGGAGGTTCCAAGTCCTGGCTCTATCAAAATAACTGCCACGTCGGGCAAGCTGACATCTTTCCTCCCTGACTCTGTTTTCTCTTCTGAAAAATGGAGACATCATGTACATATGATCAGGGGCGGTCAGGTGTGTTAATACAAAGCTTTTATTACCAACAGTGTGCCCACAGCTAATCTTTGCATACATCTTTATCTTATCAGGATAAATGCCCTTAAAAGGGAATTTTCAAGTCAGGAAGCACACCCCATTTTAAGCACTGGAGTCTGCCAAGTCACAGCTTGTTTTAAAGCCCTCCTAATGTTTGTTTCACTCAGTACTCATTTCTCTTTAACAAAGGTGAAATGTGTGCCTGCTTCTGTGGTGTGCGTGCCACAGGCATATGCACCAGGGGTTGAACCAAGCACTCACGTGTGCTTTACCACTGAGTCACATTCCCAGGCCTTTTCCAATCAGCGCTCAGGTGATTTGGGTAAAAAAAGTTGAGAAAAGGGGCCAGGGATGTGGGTCAGTGGTAAATTGCATGCCTTGTATGCATGAGATCTGCTTCTATTCCCCGAACCCTTAAAAACAAAAATGCTGAGAAATAATTCAAGATCCCATTTATAATATGCTACCTCTGAAACAGACATTAATACCTAAGGGTATTAATCAGTGCAAAGTAAAGTGGGACATAACAGCTTGCTTTTTCTATAAGTGATCCTACCTACCTGAAATGATGTTTACCTTGTATTATACAAGAGTGTTGGTTCATGCTAAATGTACCCTTAGTTAAAATGATCAAGTCATTTTCCACATGCTCTATTTGTGCATTAGCATCATGGATCGTAACTGCCAACCTATATAACCATTCCCTTAAAAGAGAACTAAGGCTGTTTTAGCTTCCTATTTCTGTATGTACTAGGACCCTGCCTGTGGATTTACCTTCAGTGGACTTAAGTTTTCTAAACATCATTTTTAGCCTAAAGATGCTCCAGCAGCTAGAGTAGAGCGCACGAAACTAACAAGCTGATGACAGCAATGCATGTTCTCTGTACAGAACGCTGCTGTCAACAGTGAGAAAGCACACAATTCCTAAAGCTAATAGATTTACGGTTTAGGAAAGCAGGACGGAGCAAACATCTTCAGGAAAATTCAAAGATAAACATTAGTGCCACAGGAACACTACCAGTTGTAAAACTATTGAGGCTAATAAAAAATGCTAAAATGAGTTTGCTATGAACTTCTAGGTTTTTCCAAAGTTTGCAAAGTGAAAAAGGAGACCCTCATAATTTTCCTCTATAGTTGTAAAGTGACAATGCACCCTTAAAATGAACTTATGATTCAGAATTTCATGTACTTGAAACACTGGGAGAGACTGGTGTAGGGCTACTCTATAAAATAACACGCTATTGTTAAAATTATGATACCTCAATTAGTGTTTTCAATTTACTAGTAACTTTTCAGTTTCTTAGGACTTGTTTGCTTTACCTGTTACTATTTCTGGCTTATGAGATACCCAATGTCCAAAGTCCATTCTAAGGGAGGTGAGGTCCCTGGCAGATGCATTTTAGAGAAGGGCAGATAGGATGAATAAACCGAAGTCAAGTAAAATTAACCAAGATCTGATCCAACATTTATTTTCATCTGAACAGCAAACATCAAAAAATATACCTGGCATTTTCTAACAATTACATGAAGAATGACCAGATGCTTCCTGTTGATTGAACAGGAGAGAACCAGAGGGACAGAATCAGACTACAGTTCACAGAACTGGAAATGAATTTAGGTTCACTACAAAAGCATGAAACCAACGTATGACCTTAAATTTTCACAGATCTAGTCATAACTGGCCCCCGAATCAGAAAACCCAAGAGTCAAAGAAACAAAGAATATTTAACTCTAAAGACATAAGGTATGTACTTGGATTGCAAAAGTATTGTTTCACCAAAGATACCGCTGAATTCCTTTTCTAGATTATCTGGCTCTCCAGGCTTTGAAAATGTCCTATCGTCCAAGAAAAGTTACATTTCCTTAGTTTTCAAAAGACCATCTAGCACAGAAGTCATGTTTTACTTGTGTCCATCATTAAAAATAAACTGTGGAGCTAAAAATTAAATTTAATCATTTAAAAATCTTTTCAAGTTTTCCAGTCTCCAGAACCAAGGGTTTGGTTTAAACATCTAAATCTCCAGCTGAAAAAAAAAAAAAAGTAAAGCGCTGGGGGAAAAAGTTCTCTTGTACATATTTTCCTGTAATACTAACTTGGCTTGCATGTTAAGACTAGGGAGACGCTTCATAGCTTAAGATAAAAAATAAAGTATGCGCAAAGTTTTTATGAGATTACAGTGGTGTAAGAGCACAACAGACCGCATGCAAACTTGGGTTTAAGAATCTTTCACAAAAAAACATATGAACGACATGCAGAAATGCTTTTTGAAAAAGCATTACCGTGCCTGTCACAGCATGGAATGGATTCTTCAGAAAAACAAAACTTTCAGAAAAAATATTTCATTTTTCAGTTAAAAAAAAAAAAGAGGCAAACCCTTAGTTTCCCTAAATTGAAAGCTCGAGTCCGGGAGGGGGGGGGGGCGGGAAAAAAAAAGTGGAAGTTGTGACGCTTTATGTCAGTGCGAAGGCATTTCAACCAAGCTGGGTGGGTCTCTAGCACGAGGTCATCTATCTGCAGAAACTTCTAACCACCAACTTCTGCACCGAAAAACAACTGGAGGGCAAGAGAACTTTCCAAGGCCCGGTTTGCCGGACGACATCCCACTCTTCCGGATTCAAACTGCACTCGGGAGAAAGTCAAAACTTGCCTGCGCGGAGACGGCAAATCAGCGTCCAGAGAGAGAGGACGGACCCGTCCCCATTACCGAGCCCCCCGGCCCCCGGCGCTGCTCTGCGGTCTCTGCCCCTTGCCACAGTCCAACCAGGTCTGACGCCGAGGAGTGAAGCGATGTGGGGCTGCAAACACAGCTGCAAGGGGGCCACCCGCAGCAGGCCCGGGCCGCCTGCCCCTGGGGCTCCGTGTGCACGGTGCACCCCCCCCAACACACACACACACACACACACCCCGAGGTCACGCACGGGCACATTTCACCCGGGAGGAGAGCTTCTTCCACGAAAACACGCTCCATAGAAAAAAGAAAGAAGGAAAAAAAGAACTGTGCCCGGCCAGCTATGACCCGGGCAAAAAAAAGAAAATTCCTCCACGTCGTGCTCGGCGAGCCCTGAGGCCGGGTCCCCAGGCAGTCAGGTCCCCGCGCAGCCGGAGCCACAGGCTTCGTCCCCCTTGGGGACTCCCGCGGCCCGAAGCCCCCACGCGGGCCGGGCTCTCCCGTTAACCCTGTGTGTGCGGGCCGGCCGCCCCCCGGCGCTCCGGGCCGCTCCTTCCCGGCCCCGGCGAGCCGGCCGCGCCGCGCAGACAAAGGACGCCCGAGGCTCCCGGGGCGGCGGCGGCGGCGGCGGCTGCTCCCCGCCACCCCGCGCCCGCCTCCGCTTCTCGCCCGCTGCGGGGCCGGCGGGCGGCGGGCGGCGGGTGGCGGGCGGCGGCGGCGGCGGCGGCGGCGGCGGCGGCGGCGCGCCGGGGCCCGGGGAGGGGGCGGCGGCCGGCCGCCACCATGTCTGCCCGCCCCTCCCCGGGAGCGCGGGGCTCGGCGGACAAAGCGCGGCGGCGGCGGCGCGGGCGGGAGCGGGCGCCCAGGCCCACCCCGCCGACCCCCGCGGAATTAAGCGGGGCCCGGAGCCCCGGAAACCCGGCGCCTTAATGCAATAAACAGGAAATCGCGGGGATGATCTGGGTTCCGGGGGAAGTGGAATTATTTTTTACCAGCGAAGAGATCAACTTCCACATCCGGTGGTAACAGGGCCCTACACAGACCCGCACTGACCTGGAAAAGCTTCGGGAGCGGCGGCGGGGGAAGCGGCGGGAGGTGGTGCGGGGACCCGAGGCGCCTCGTACCCGGACGCGCGGACGCGGCCCCGCTACACACGCGGCGCTCCAGCAGCACGGGGCGCTATTTTCCGAAAATGCCGCGTCTGGTCGGCGCCCAAAATCCCCACCGAAAAGTCCCCCGTGCTGCGCGCGGAAGGACACATGGTGTGCGAGTGAGTCAAAGCTCCCAGCATTCCTCCCGGACCGGCCCTCGCCCCGGCCTTTCCGCCCGCGTCAGAGGAGCCCCCCGTCCCGCCCGCGGCCCGAACCCCGTCCCGAGGGGCGCTGGCGAGGGGTGGCGAGGGGCGCCTCTGCTTTTCCCTCTCGACCGAGGGCCGCGAAACAGGCCACTTCGAGGCCTTCGGCCACACAAAGGAAAGCGGCGGAATGATCCGCGCTCGGCGACCGCAAGTCCCGGCTCGCCCGGCGCCTGCGCGCCACGGGCTGTGGGAGCCCGCGGCCGGCCATGTGCGCGGCGGGGCTGGCCGGGCCGCGAGCCGCGCTTTCCCGCGTCTTTTCCGCGGGGGTAGGAGTTGGGCAACGCCGACCGCGGACGCGCCCGCCCTCGGCGCTCGGCTCCGTGGCGGCGGGGCGGCGGGCTCCCGCCCTGCTCCGAAACGAAAGCGAGCCCAGGAGAGGCCTGGGAGGTGCGGGAGCTGGAAAGCGGCCGTAGGTGCCGCCGAGGGGGGACCGGCCGTGGAGGCGCGGGAGGAGGGTCGCCCGCCCCCCGCCGCCCAGCAGCCCCGCTCCTCAGAGAAGCGCCTCAGAACTTCTCGTGGGAGTTCCCGCGGGTTACCGTCACCTCGGGTAGAGATCTGTTTCTTCCCGTGGCTCAAGTGGCCTCTTAACTTTTTTTTGGAGAAAAAAATAGAGAGAGGAACGGAGTTTTTTTGCAGGTGATGATCGGCGCGGTGAAAGCGTTAGGACTGTTCCGGGGGGTGCTGCGTGCTCCTCGGCGGGCTGCCCGCGCTTCTCACCCAGGGTCCCCAGAGCGTGCTGTTTGTTGTCCCAGAACTAGGCGTTGGGCACACCTGAGAAGTGCCAAAAGTTGAATCTCCCAGAGCTGAGGAGCTCCCGTGCGAACTTTTGGTTGCTTGCTCGCTCTCGCTCCCTCATTTTGCCTGACCTCAGATAAGTAATCTTTCACCCCGTGCTAATGGCAGGATTTGTGAGGTCCATGCTAATTAGCGTGCCAGAAATAGAGGCAAACTCAACAGGCGTGGGAACCGAATTCTGTGTTTGTCGTTAATAGTTTCATTGCATTGACTGTGTGTGTGTGTGTGTGTGTGTGTTTGGGGCCACACCCTGTGGTGCTCAGGGCATCTCTGCATTGCTTGGGTTTCTCCAAGTGGGGCCCTTGATGGAACTCTGCATGCAAACCCTGGCGATTAGCCCTTTGAGTTATTGGCTCCCTGGATCAAGTGTTTGCGATCACATGCTTTAAACTTGAGCTTTGAGTAACTGGTCTCTAATGACTGTCAATAGAATACTTCGCCTTCACTAATCTTATGCTGTGAAGTATAGACAAGTAAACAGGCATCACAGGAGTGTAAGGAGGCAAACTGCTGAGTGCTGTGAAAACTAGAGGAGAAGTCCTTCACTCACCTGGGAGACCGGAGTGGAGGGAGACTGGAGGAGCAATTAGCTTTAACAAGGGAACTTGGGAAGAGACTTCCAAGACCCTGGTTAGGAAACAAACGGGGGAAATTGCTGAGTCAGGAAGATACTGCTGGGGCCTGAGAAAGTATATAGCAGTAAAGTGCTTACTTTGTATGCAGCCAACTGGTTTCAATCCCGGCACCCTGAGCCCCCTGCCAAGAGTGACCTTGGTGGGCTGGAACTTAAACAGCAGGTAGGGCCTTGCATGCAGCTCACCCAGGTTTGATCCCTGGCATCCATGGTCCACCAAGCCTGCCAGGAGTGATTCCTGAGTGCGGAGCCCGGAATAAACCCTGAGCTCCACCAGGTGTGGCGCCCACAGAAAAGAGTGACCCCTGAGCATAGAATCAGGAGTAATTCCTGAGTACTGCTGGGTGTGGCTCCAAAAAAGGGGAAAAAGACTAGAGCTATTTCAAGGTTATTTAGTGTGTGGTGTACTGAAAAACTGGAATACCATGAACAAATAAATTTTTTTTTTTTTGCAGTGCTGTGGGATCAAACCTAGAGACCACACATGTGAGGCGGATGCTCTAATACTTAGCCACATCCCTGACTACAGAAATTAACTTTGGAATTCATGAGGAAGCTATTAAAAGATATTATTAAAAATCACTATTAAAGTTACTATTAAAATTACTACTAGGAAACTATTAACAAATAAGAGCTGGGGAGATTGCTCAAAGGGCTGGAGGTCATCCTTTGCATGGAGAACACCCAACTTCAGTTATTGGCACTACATGGTGCCTGGGAGTAGCTCCTAATCACTGCCAAGTTTGACTGAAAACCCTTCCCTGACCCCCCCCCCAAAAAAAAGATACTAAATAGAAGCATTATAAGATTATATTTGCATTTTCAGACTCCCTTATCCAAAACTTAAGAGGCATGTAGAACAGTAATTTCAGAACTGGAGATGGAGATGGAGCTTAGGTATCCAGTACTTCCCTGGCTTGTTCAAGGCCTTAGGTTCAGTCCCCATCACCACATTTAAAAAAAAAGAAAAAGGCTGGAGCCATAATACAGCAGATAGAGCCAACCTGGGTTCAATCCCTGACATTCCATATGATTCCCCCAAGCACCAACAGAAGTAATTCCTGAGTGCAAAGCCAGGAGTAAGGCTTGAGCATCACTGGGTGTGAACCAAAAGGCAAAAAAAAAGTTTTTAATTAAAAAAATAATATCAACTAAGTTCTCATCTGAGAGTAATGCCTTGGACAGTGTGGTGGGTAGGAGTAAAGAAAAGGACTAACGTGGCTTTTGAGAGTTTACCCGTGTGTTGAACTGGATAAGGCATAAATTGAGAGGGAACATGCAAGGGTTGGCTTCCTGGGGTGTTGAGGGAGAGAGTATTCACCAACAGTGGGAAGTGGTTGGAATGCATATGAGTGTAGGAAGACTGTCTGCTTTGAAGCTGTAGAATTTTAATTGCTTCAGGGCTACCCAGGTAGAGATGCCTATTAGAAAATGAAGTGTTCATTTCTACAACCTGCACTGTTCACCACTGGATAGGATGAGAAGCTGCAGGGTGAGCAATGTGCCCGCTCCTCTCGGTAGTGAGAGACCAAAGTAGGAACAAATTTCACACAAGAGAAAAGAGAATATTCCTTAGTATGTTCCCTGGAGGAAGTTAAGGGGTTTGGAGAGGAGAGGGAGGCAAGGGTTGAATCATAATTCAGCAGTGTCAGGGATAAGGAAAAGAACTTTAGTTTGCCACCTACAAGGCAAATACCTTCACACCCTGTAGTCTCTTTCCAGCCCCAGGAATTGAAATTCTGTGTTTTGGTTTTGGGAGCAACTTGTTGGTTGCTCAGAGGTTTCTCCTGGCTTAGTGCTTAGGAATGAACCTGGGGTTCCACATGCAAAGTGTGGACAACCCTTGGACTAACTTCTGGGCCCCTGAAACTGTGTGTCTGTGTGTCTGTGTGTCTGTGTGTGTGCCCCAAGGTCTCACAGAAGGGAGTATCACTGGGATTTACCACTGAGCCACATCTGGGAGCTCTGGGGACTGCAGTTCTGGAGATTGAGCCTGGGCCTCCTGCACAGAAAATATGTACACCAGACCATTTGAGGAAACTTCCTGGTCCTCCATTACACACTTTTTGTTTATAATTTGCGGCCACACCCAGCTGTGCTCTGGGCCTACTATTGGCTCTAGAATTACCCCAGATAGTGCTGGGGAAGCCATATCTGATACCAGGATTGAACTGGGTAGGTAGTGTGCTAGGCAAGTGCTTTATCTACTATATGATCTCTTTGGTCCCTCAACAGCAAACAGAAAAATTCATGTACTGAGATATGCTTAAGTATAAGAGTTACCAGCTCACACACTTTCTTAGTTCACGATCACGATCATCCTGTTGTTCATCAATTTCCTCGAGCAGGCACCAGTAACGTCTCCTTCGTCCTAGCCCTTGAGATTTTAGAAAGTGCCATATTCAAGGCTCTTTCAGGGTCAGGAGAATGAGACCCATTATTGTTACTGTTTTTTGGCATATTGAGTACGCCACGGGGAGTTTGCCAGACTGCCATGTGGGCAGGATGCTTTCGGTCGCCTGCCGGGTTTTCCAGAGTAAGAACTTTCTTAGTTATTTGGAAAATATAAAACATCTCTATCCATATGGGCCATATCCAGTTCATATGCTATCAGCTCCGTGTTTTAATAACTGTAGCCAGGTTGAATACGTGCTGCTAAGGTGGATTTGGGCAGGATGAGGCAAGATATGCTAAGGATCAAACCCAAACATACAAGGAATGTGCTTTATTGAATCATATTCCTGGCATGCTCCATTCTTTAAAACCCACAGTATGTGTGGAGAAGGGGGGCGGGGAGGCAAGAGATAGTACAGTGGGTAAGGTGCTTGCCTTGCAAATAGCTGACCTCGGTTTGAGATCACTAGAACCCCATAGGAGTGATCCCTACGCATAGAGCCAGGAATAAGCCTTGAGCACTTCTGAGTGTGACCCCCAAACAACACTTCGGTGGTGTTGAGAGCACTTAGACTTGACCCTTCCCTTCTGCTCTCTAGACATCAGTCACAATGAGCACCTGGCTAAACACAACAAACTGTCACTGGAGAGTTTTGTCCAGTTATTTCTCTTGGTTTCAAATATTACTTTTTTTTTTTTGCTTCTTTTTCGGTCACACCTACTCGGATTGGGGCCGAGCATCCTCCACCCAGATCCTCCAAATTCCAGTAGGCGGGGGTCACACCCACCAACTGGCCCCCTGGCACCGTGTAATCCCATCAACGGCCAAGACTCAGAGACTATAAAAACTAGCTCCCGGAACCGCGCGGCCGCGCGACATCTTATTATGACATCTTATTATCTCATTCCTACTTTGGACAAACTGGCAGGCTACCGAATGTGGCCTGCCCACATGGCAGAGTCTGGCAAACTCCCCGTGGCGTACCCAATATGCCAAATACCAGTAACAATGATGGGTCTTATTCTCCTAAAGAGCCTTGAATATAATCTCAGGGCTAGGATGAAGGAGACGTTACTGGGGCCTGCTCGAGGCAATCGACGAATAACAGGATGATTTGGGATTTTGGGTCACACCCAGCAATGCATAAGGGTTATGCTGGCTCTTCACTCAGGAATCACTCCTGGCGGTGCTTGGGGGACCATATGAGATGCTGGGAATTGAACCTGGGTCGGCCACGTGCAAGGCAAACGCCCTACCCGCTGTGCTATCGCTCCAGCCCCTCAAATACTACTTTTAACTTTTTGTCATTCGGATCTTGCTTGGCAAAGAGGATCCCTTCTGAGGCCTTTAGAGCAATCATCACAATTCTGCTTGTTGTTCTACCAAGGGCAAATTGATCCAAATACCCATTTATGGCCTGGGGATGTAGCTCAGTGGTAGAGCATTTGATCTTGCAAGTCTGAGCCTCTGATTTGATTCCTGGTATCGCATTCCTCCCTGCG